AGATTCTGTATCCAGTAAACCCTTCTGCTGAGATGCTGATTTTACATGCTCTGCCTAGCCTTCTCTCCATCTTAATACTCTCTTTATCTAATTCTGGCTACTCACTACACATCTGTACCTGTCCTCCATGGTACACAAGGGAAAAAGGAAATAATAATAGTAAAAAAAATAATGATAATAGAAAATACCAATGACATAAGGATAAACACCATTACTATTTCTGTTTCAAATTAGCACTAGCAGGCAGTATTACAACATCTGAAGAACAGACAAAAATGTAGTAAATTTTGTTGTTAAAAATTGCACAATGATAATGAAAGGAGACATCAGAGAAAACACTTCCTGAAGTTAAACCATCATCATCCTAAATGCTGCTGAAATGCTAAATACTGATTGATATACATAAGAACAACATTGGTTCAAAATACTTCAAGCAAGTTGGTTCTATTACTTTCTCACATTCTGCTGAAGAATATTCTAGAATTCAATTGAGAATGGCTAAATTCAGAGCATAATGAAATTTGTGATTTACAGAGAAATTCAGAGGATCCTCAGGATCGAAAGTAACAAATGTGGACATTAAATAATACACTCATTCATTTGTTAATTATATGGTTACTAATACTAGCAAGTAGAACATACTAAATGTACATGACTTACTAACTACATTTGCCAGTACTTATATTTTTGAAAGCAACAGTAGTAGAATTGGGTAAAAAATCTAATACTTATATCTATTAATAAATTATTTAATGTTTGTAAGTGTAAACTGTACCAAGTAAATTCGAGATATATCTACATATATAGAGGTCATGTCAAAAACTTATTTAATGAAGCAGCAATAGTTTAGTAAACTTGAGCTAAGTAGTCTATTCACACATGAAGCACAAGGGAAGCAGACACTAGAGAAAAGTCCAGGGAAAGACTAGCAGCTCTGTTAATATTAATACCATTGTAAACTAGAGCTGGATACATTGTGATTTTATACCAACATATGTGAGAGCATTCAAACTGCTCCATTATCTAACACATAGAAAGGTATGTGGTTATAATCAAAACGACTTCATACTTCCTGGGTGGAGGTGTTGTCCTAACTCAAGTCTTTATGATTAGCATCAATACACCCTTTTGGGTGACACACCTTCAACTAATTATGTGTAGGAAAGTGACTTGAAAAAGCCTGATGAAGAACAGTTATAATTAGCCACGATTCTTAGAGAAAAATACCTCTAAGCATTAGCAAACATTCACTGATGTTCATTCTGACAGAAGTTTTAACTTAGCTGTTACACTAAACTTTATGCTTATGTTCTCTATTACTTAAAAGTAAACTATGTTTTCTTCTGTTCAAAGACATTAATATATTAATATTTTAAGTATACCTATCTCTTATGTTAACCACAAATATTTTTAATACAACTCTGAAGCAAAATAGTATTCTTCTCACAATGGAACATCAGCTAACAATATTTTTAAAATTCTGAACTCAGTCACGTTTTGCCTACAATCTTGAGCCCATAAACATTTCTGTCTGCAGAAAAGAAGAGCAACAAATATAATTGTACAAGAGGTGCAATTTATAACAAGTACTTAACAACTACTTTCATTTCCAGAAGTCCAATTAATGACTTTGCTGAATGTAAAACATCCTTTAAAATACATTTCGCTTAAAATAAAATGAAATGTTTATAACGAAATACTTCATCCAATATACAGATTACATCAGTAATCTCACTGCTCATAATTATTTTCTAATGCTCAACATCATTAGTTATTTTCAGGGTTATCCAGAATATATAATTAATTGGCTACTAAAGCTACAGCTCTAACTCACAGTAGGAAAGTTAAAAAGAATGAAGAGAAGTATAGAAAGAATTATTAATCTCATTATTTTAATGCAATTGAATCAGTTAAAAAAATCATTCCAAAACTGGGATTAAAAAATTGAATGTATTTTTTTAGATATTCAGTAAAACACATTAGACACTGGCTTGCCATTGTAACTACGATAAATTTGCTTTGTAATAAACTGGCAATTTTAAGGTAATGACTTTTTAATTCTAAGGACTTAATTTGCCAAAATAAGGTCCAAAATAAAATTCATGAAATGGTTTATATTTATTTATCCTGATCTGATATAAATTTGTCTGATAGTAAAAAATATAATATGAATATACATAAATGAAGCAAAGTAGTCATATATGTATGAACCAGACATCAGAATCATAAATAGGAACACATTAATTTTCATAAAACGTTACATTTTTGTACATAGACTTCCCTTAAGTTTGTACCTCTGAAATGTTCAGAATTTGGGTATACATTTCACTTGGGCAATAAATCTCTAGAGCCAGTATAATTACATCAATTAGCCAAAAGAGGGCGCAGAGAGCACACTAGAGTTTATGGACTCCCTAGGAAAGTGCCAGGTGTTCTCTCTCAAGTTGTCTAACAAGAATCATAAAACCCAGTTAGGTGTGCTAACTCTGAAATACTGAAAGTTACAGCATAAGTATATATAGGTATACTTTATATAGATTCCTACATAAATATATTGATATGTAGCATTTCTGCCATTCAAACAAAAATAAATATATGCCTTGCCTAGTGCATTAGTTTGTATTCCAGTAATTTAGAGAAATCAGGTACAGAGGGATCAGGATCAGGGAAGGTAAAGAGAAAGGTGGGAAGAGGTGCCCTAGAAGTGGGGAACCTAAGAAAACCAAAACCAGAAACCGTTAGAGTGGGAAAGAGATCACCTCTTGATTCTCATTACTGAGGCAGAGGTTGGCACTGAGTACCTCCCTGGTACCTTTCAAGGTAGCTACTGCTACCATATGAAGTATAAATATGTCCATAAAGCTCTTTAGGGGGTCTTCACTTGGCTTTGCTGTTTTCTCAATGTTCTTATTTGAAAGGAACATATACAGCATAAGGCATCTGACTGACATCTATCTACTTTATCTATACATTACTCCTTATAACAGTTCAGTCACCAGGCCAAATTTGGTCAAAACCCAACCCATCTGCCTGGAATGAATATATGTACTAATTTTGTGGTTCATTAAGCTCTATAAATATACTTCTTATATTAAATTTACTATGAATCTTATCAGCACCAATGAATATTTCCATCTGCCACTAAGTTTTTAAATAATAAAGCACTGTAATCAGAACATGAAAGACATGGTACTTGTATCTCTGAGTAGACCTTATTCTATTATTTTAGGAGATATTTATAATTTCTAAAAAATAACCACAGTATAGTTAACTAGCTGACAATGGTAACCTTCTGTTTCATGATTTCTCAGGTATGACTCCTTACTACCAAAACTAACCAAAAAGAAAATATTGATATGCTCCAAGAACACTAGATACCCCTTCAATCCTCTCTTCAAGGGAAAGGCTGAGTACATAATTATTTTTTTAAAGATATATGGATTTTGCAGTATTCTAATGGAAAAAAATTTTTAACTGAATTTTTCTCAAACCATGCTAAATTTTTTCACACAAATATTCTATGCTTTCCAAGAGACCATCACAATTAGCAATTTAAATTTGTATAAGGCTAATAATGAATATAGATTATTATATTTTCTCATTTTAAGGTCATTTCCTAACATTGCCTACTAAAAAAGGTCTCTCAATCCAGATTATAGTGGTCAATTAAAATTTAATTTCTATCTGGGTGTTTACAGGTACACAAAAGTTACTTACTTTTACTAGTAACTTCCTATAAATAAAATTTCAATATTAGTTGGCCAATATCTATTATATAAAAACCTTCAAGGTGTAATTTTAGATCTACTAGTAGGTAAACAAAAGTAAAAAGTATACTTTTTTTTAAAAAGCACAATATTCTTCTTTATACTATACATATTATCTAGTTACACTAGCATTTTTTTTTTTTTTTTTGCCATATGTGGGCCTCTCACTGTTGTGGCCTCTCCCGTTGCGGAGCACAGGCTCCGGAAGCGCAGGCTCAGCAGCCATGGCTCATGGACCCAGTCGCTCCACGGCATGTGGGATCTTCCCGGACTGGGGCACGAACCCGTGTCCCCTGCATCAGCAGGCAGACTCTCAACCACTGCGCCACCAGGGAAGCCCTATACTAGCATTTTAAAAACATATGCGTTCTAACATAACTACACTAGAAAAGGTATCAGTGGAATTATTGCAAATTCTTTACCCTTTTTGCTAATAAAAATCATAGGGTAAAATAGGAACACATGCCTGTTTGGTTAAAAATTTCCCCTTGGAGCAAATAGTTTAACAAAAACCAATAATTACAATAGTACAGGGGAAAGAAATGGGAAAGTTAATGTGAAACAAAATTAATCTTTCCTTTAAAATAAGGTAGGTAGTTGGTGTTTTACTTTAGTGGTGTTTTTGGTGAAGAGAAAAAAAAACATTAGAAAGCTACTTCTAAGAAAACACTGTCCTTTTTTGTTGCTGTTTTTGTTTTGTTGTTGTTCAATCCTATATGCTAAATTTTTAAAAATCTTGCAGCACATATAAAAGGAAGTATAACATAAAATTGTATTTGAAAAAGAAAATTTACATATAAGGCATATCAACTTTTGTAAAACCTAAAGAATGAAATTTAGATTTGGTTAGTACTGCTTAAGGGTGAAAAATTTAAATAAACATCTGAAGTTTCCCATAAAGTAAAATCTGTAACACTGTCAGTACTAAAAGAAATTATGTACAATTATTTCATCCCAATCACTGCTTTTTGAGTTTAATAACAAAAGCATTTAAAGAAATCCCTGTGGAAAGCTAATTTGAAAGTAAACATGCTTTAAAACTTAAATATAGATCATGTATTAGTCCCACAACAGGATCAAGATCACTATTAAAATAAAGCCTGGGGCACATTATGATGCTTAAGATTGGTGGGTGGATTTTAATTGACTTGAAGACTGTCATAGTTCTATTATCAGAAAACCTGTAACGCATTTCCAGCATGGAGGACCCATCTGTGCCCACCATCCATCTGTTTAGACGTGATTGGCAAAGTGGTAGGGAACTCGCAGTGGTTGCCTCTGCCTGAAAGGAATAAACCACAGGATCTTCCAACGAGTGCCAAAAACTTCTGAGAAGGTCTGCTGCCATGGCTTTCGGGGCCTCGATCTGCAGAAGACAGCATTATTAGTGAAAGACAGCACTCCCATGGTGCACTTCAGTCAGCTAAAACAATACAGGTTGGCTGGGAATCCATTACTGGACTCTGATGAATTGTGTCCCAGCATCACAAATACAGCTTTTCTTTCTTTATGGCATGCAGCTGAGTTTTAACTCTGGATAGCAGATATTGTATCTGCGTCGTCAATCAACCTAGGGCAACTTTTGAAGCAGAGGAGAATCTCAGGATTAACAGAATGTGTGTCAACAACACAGTAGCAAATCTCTTTTGATGTATTTTCAGGACAAATAATTTAACTTACTTTAGTAGGACAAGGAACAAGAATGATCAGTACTTATTTTGTTTGAAAACTATCACGGCTAGAAGACCCCTACCCCTACTCTAAGACTGGGTTATGCTTGCTAGCTCAGGTCTTAGAAAAGGCACCAAGAAAAAGCCATCATTATATTATCTTTCCACTGCATGCACACATTTTTCAAATGTAACCAGTTGTTTGCATTTTTAAATAAGAACACTACAGACTTCACTTTCATACTTACATTTCTTCACAACAGTTTGACATCTTTTCAATAGATGTTGTATCCTATTAAAAATTAAAAAAAATACTCAGATATAACAGTTATCAAGGCTTGATTCTATATCTATTTCATGATGTTTTTAATCATATTTGGAGAATATTCTAAAGATATAAAAAGATTATATATGGGTACTAAGCTGGGAAAAAGTGAGAGTGGTAGTGTATATAAGGACAGATATACACTACCAAATGCAAGATAGCTAGTTAGTGGGAAGCAGTCACATAGCACAGGGAGATCAGCTCGGTGCTTTGTGACCACCTAGAGGGGTGGGATAGGGAGGGTGGGAGGGAGATGCAAGAGGGAGGGAACATGGGGATATATGTATACATACAGCTGATTCACTTTGTTATAAAGCAGAAACTAACACACCATTGTAAAGCAATTATACTTCAATAAAGATGTTTAAAAAAAGAATTTTAAATTATCTATGCACATTGCTGAAATTCCCTTGGAAAAACAGAATCAACATTACCTTGTGCTAAAAAGAACCAATTTATTCAATTACAACCCCCCCCCCCAAATTGTAGGAGTCTCACTTCATTAAAAAATAACCTTTTATTACACTTGCCTTCTTGATAATTCTTTTAAAAGTCTATATTTAATTCAACTGTCATTAAATATGCATTAAAAAATAAATACCAAAATGATAAATGAAAGACACTACTGAACAGAAAACTGTCAAGAGCCAAAGAGCACTACTGGTTATGTATTTCTGTAAACAAAGCCAAATTCAACAAGGCAATGTATGCATTTGCCGTACTACAACATTTATTACTCTGAAAAGGAAAGCTAACTGATTAGTGGTTTTTTTTTTTCAAGAGAAAAACCAGTCCCTTCATAATAATGCAATTTCTCATTATGTGTTTTCTATAAAGCTGTTAACACAAATATATAAGAAAAACAACTCAATAAAGAGAAGAAAGCTTCTAGACATGCTGGTCTAATTCATGTTAATGGAAGACCTATCATTAGACTGAGAAACAGTGATGATAAGGAATATCCAAATAATCAAAACACAAATTATATAATCTTATTTTAGATATATATTTACATTTTAAATATACTTTTAAGTTGTACAAAAGAAAATATATTCTTTTAAATATACAAAAAAGTCTTCCTCCTTTTATCCTTTCCTTTATTAGCTTACTCAGATATAGCAGGTGGACTGCAGTTATTAAGCAGTACTATTCATGCAAATATTTGTGGCTGCAACTCCAATTGCACGAACTTCTTTAGCTATAGAACTCTCTTCCAATAATACTACTGAAAAGCACCTTTACTTCAAAAAACTCTTTAAAGTTACACGAATGGCTCAGAACATTAAATTCTTATGTATGAACAGTTGTCTAACTACAGTTGGCCCACATACAGGAAAACAAATCTATCATTTTTTAGGTGACTAGTAACTAATAACAGAGTTTCATTTCCAGATTTCCCAGGAATCTGTGAGGAGGCTATAGATTAGTCACTCTATATTCACTAATTTCTTAGCATTTTCTGAAATTCATGGTTTCCAATGACAATTCTATTTATAATTAACCTTTCCCGGTTCTGTTGCATAATTTCCTCAAAATAATGTTTTACTTTGTGAAAACACAGTCTGCAAATACATAAAAAAGTTTATTAAAGACTTAGAGGAAAGCTGGGGTTCTGGTTCCATATCAGAAAAAAAAAGTGAAGGAGGTAATTTAAATGGTGTCTTAGAACTGATGGTGACAGGTTATTCCAAAATAATTAAGATAGCTTGCGCAAAAATACAAAGGAAAAGAGAGGAAAGAAATTTAAAAGTGTTATCAGGAAAGGTATATAAATGGCCCCAAATTGCAGGTGTAGATAACACTTAAAAGTGGAAACTATTTCAGGATAAGGAAGGCAATTACAAGGTTAGACTACTTGAACTAGCCAATGTTACAGGATATTTTTACTGTGCAGAAACTTACAACTCGATTATAACTTTGAGGAATGTATTTGTGACAATAAAATAATCAGTTTTAAGGACTCTGAATTTAGACTTCATATGGGAAAAGCTCTTATTTTCAAGTGCTTTTGACATCTTTCTAGAATCTGGCTCAAGAAATACGAGGAACACTACCTTTCAAGTCATCATAAACAGACTGTCATTCAATCAAAGGATGTGATGTTTACCATGACTTTATGAACAGGATTTGCGAGGCTAGCCAAAAAAGACTATTTTTTTCCTCTAGAAATGGCAAATGCTTATCTCTCAGCTATGCAGAGTACTATTATAAGAAAAAAGAACAGCTAAACATGTCACAAAGTTTTTGAACTGATATTTATACAGCATACTCAGGGCAACACAAGTTATCATGCTATTGTATTTATATGCACAATAGAAACAGCAAACTAGAAGAGAAGAGAGGTTACTACTTGCAGGAATATTGACAACCATAAGTTATTTCCAAGTGCCGAACTAGGCTTAATAAACTTTTCGTTTTCTTTTATTAAGCAGGGAATTGTGGAATATTTCACACATGAAAAAAAAACTAAAAATATTTAAAACAGATTTTAGTGCAGCTAATTCCATTCAACATAAAAGACTCAATACCTTTAGTGACTATCACAAAGTGACCAAAAAGGTAATTGCTATCTTCACGGAGTATATTTTATAAATTCTTAGTTATATGTAAAACAGCTATCTAGGAAAACTCACTCTTCAAGGAATGATAAGAAACACTTTTTTATTGTATTATCTACAATCAAAATACCTTATTTCCAAAGAAATATTTATGTCTTGATTATGGTCTAATGATCAAAATATCCAAGACTTCTGCCAGTCTGCATAACTGAGATAAATGAGAATGCTTTCCTATTTTAAAAACCAGGAAGCTTATCTTCTAAAAAAAAAATAAATAAACTAGAAACAGGAAAGACTTACAGAAATTTAGGCCTCAAGTATTTTATCAACTATACTTTATCTTCTCCTGATGGCTCATCTTACTCTAAGAAATGATCTTTCAGGTTCAGTCTAAGGAAATATGTTTGACTTAAAAGAAAACTGTATCTCAACTAATAAGATTATAACTGGAATGGAAAAAAAAGTTTCTAATAGGAAGGGAGAGGAAGGTATTTATTGCCGATTGGAAAAATTGAGGGGGGGGAGGTGAGAGGCAAAGAGCAAGAATTTATCACCAGACGTTTCCTGGTTAACAGACCTGAGAATCTAGTCCTCTTGGAATAGACAGCTTGATGATACAATCCATCCAACTAACTCATTCTGCTTTCAGTTCATTCTCACAAAGTAACACTTTGCCATATATGTTGTTGTACAGGAGAAAGAATGTACTGCAGAGTCCTTTGGTACCTGACAATCATACATAAGGGAATAAATAGTCAACCTGGTTTATATGACTATCACTTTTGAGTCTAGAAGTAGAGTCACTGCTTCTGGGCCTGATTAACCCTGGAAACATTTTCAAAATGGAGTTTCCAGATCTGTCAAACTGAAGATCTGAGGAAAGTAATAACATTCTATCAGAAAGTTTCCTTGAAGACAGTTCGATCTAACCTCAAGGATAGCCCGCACTCTTTAGTCTTGTCATAGGTCTTGTTGATGCTTTTAACTCTACTGCACATACCTGATTCAATGACTCTGCTGATTTAACCTGGAGTAAAAAACACTATTAAGGAAAGTTTATCACAACTAGAGATTATATACCTGTTTTGTCTACTACTGATTTCTGCTAATTCTAAAATAGACTTTTACTTAACTTCCTAGAATTTCTGCTCAACATACAGAGAGCAACTCATTTAACTTTATGTCTTTCATAGCACCGAACAGCACAAACTATTCAAAGTGGGTACTCAATATATGTTTGCAGCACTAAACTAATTGAACATGGACAGAAATAACATGATTCCTTATCTTTAATTTTTTTCAGTCCAAAGAGAGAAAACTTTCTGTTAACCTTAGCTCTCTCTCCTCCTCTGAAGCCAGAACTCACTACTATATTACTCACTTGAAATAAATGGTTCATAAGCATCCATCTCCAACAAAGGACCAGCTACATCTTTTATTAGAGATCTTAAGTTAACAGAGACATTTTAATCAATCATGAAACCAAACTGAGAAGGCAGTAGATGTTACTTTTATAGCCACTTAAAACATTTCTTTCCAACATAATTCCCACACTCCTCTTCATCAAGCCATTTTCTGGCTGTATAAAACCTTAAGAAAGTTACTAAAATCCTGTATCTCAATTTTCAAATACTACTATTTACCTCATAGGTTTTTGTAGAAATTAAATGAGTTAATATGTTAGAGCCCTTAATAACTCCTCAATAAATGACAGGCCTAAGTTTTTATTGTAGGGCTTGCAGCTATCTTAATTACATTAGAATGTAACTAGAAAAATTTATGTTTAAACAAAAAAGTGGTTTTTATAATCAAAGATAAAATGGCATGGACTGTAGGAGACTACACAGATAAAATCCAATGTCCACAAGGGGCTTATAATCTAGTTGAAAAAGTAAGTACTAAGTACATAAAACATGATTCATTTACTCATTTATTGTCTATCAAAAATTTACTAAGTACATATTATGACACAGTCCTTAGCAACAAGGAGCTTACAGTCTAGTGAAAGTAGTTAAACATACAAGAAATAATTATACAGGAATACACCTAGGATGTCAGAGAGGAGGATTATATACGATAACATATATAAATAAGTCATACACTATTTAGAAACAGCTGAAAACTTACGTTTGCAATCAACAATCAAATCAAGGTCAACTACTCTTACATTTTTAGTACAGAATTATACTTTCATAAGATTTTTGGTTATCAGTAGAAGTAAGATGGGCTAATGTGCCCCTTTGGCCGGAATTTGAGAAGTAATTAATATAGTGATAGACTGTGACAGAGAGAAGCATATGAATCACTGTGGAAAAAGATCTAAAAGTTAACTATAAATATAAAATTCACTGTTTTCTCCAATACTATAAAGTTGTAAATTCAGATTAAAAATTCACGTGGATTCAGAAC